CTACGTGAACATAAAAAATGGGGTGGGGACAAAGCTATAAAGTTTGTCACAGATCTCAGTGTTTTTAAATATTTTCCACTTTTCCCATCTCATTCTTTATACTTACACATACACAAAATGTTAAAGAATACAAATCACATAAACACATACAGAGTGCAGCTCTGCCTTCTTTGGGATCAAAGAACTTCCTTGAAGGCTCACCAAGGCACCTACTGCAGCTAACCTTGGAGGTAAGGCGTGGGACTTGCGGTATTAAAAATGCTGAGAGTGAAGCCTGGAGAAGCCAGTCGTTTCCAGGGATTGGGAACAAAAGGGATGGACTTGAAGATGTAATGGTTATGTATTCACAACGGTATCATAAAGTAAAACAATAATTAAATAAACATAGGGAAGCATAATTAATATAGTAGAAAATAAGAACAAGCGCAAATGTACTCTGTAAAAATAACATTGAAAACCTTTCAATCAAGAAAAAGTAACTTCCCTGGGATATGTACCGGTATGTATGTATGTATGTATGTATGTATGTATGTATGTATGTATGTATGTATGTATATATTGTGTGTGTGTGTTTACCAGCAGCTTGAGCCAAGGAGGTTTTATTTTAATTAGCAAAAGAATAGGAAAGTGCCTCATCTTAACAAATCTTCACTTCAGAACAAATAATACAATTCTTAAAGGAAGCATGGCAATTAACAAATAATTCCTGTTTAATTCTGCAAAGTCTCCACATAACATGATTGTAATTAATACAATGAGGTATTTGGAGGAAATAGTCAAAGTAATACATGGTCTGGCTATTCACAGGATTCAAACCATTTGCAAAGAACCTTTGGGCTGCTGGCAAAGAACCAGAAAGCAAAGCAAAACTCTTTTCCTTTGCTAGCAAGGAAAGTTGAATGGTATGTCAACTTGGGAAAAAGCACCATTGTGAAGAAGTATTCCTTTGATTTTCCATGCCCATTCCATTAGGCTGAGGTATTCAGAGATTATCTATACAGTAAGGTCTAAAGAGGTCAAAAGTGGTTTAATGCTTTGGTTCAAGCAAGGCACTCATCCAGTTTAATGTGATTTGCAGCTGTTCTCATAGTTTTATTGTTCTGTTATTGAAGGAATAGTGTTGTAAACATGTAACCATTGTACAGTTAGGAAAGTAACTACAGATAGAAACTGCAAGCACAAGTTCCTTTTTCAGATGCAGGCCATGTGTGAAAAAAATCTTTGGTATTCATCACTGTAATTAAAATCACCCATGGAAAATGGAATGAGGTAGCATCTTTCCTTTTACATGATAAATAGCATGGGGTAACCACCTCCTCCTCCTCCTTTTCTTCTTCTCCTCCTCCTCCTCCTCCTCCTCCTCCTTTTCTACTATAGGTGTAAGTATCTTGATTTTGCTTTTCCAGACAAGTTATGGTGCTTATTGTAAAATCAACCACATCATATAATAGAATTTTGAAAGGAAAATCTGCATACTGACTTTGCCTGAATATAACAATACAACAGATAAAAATGTGCCATTACATTCTCTTTGCTTGACAAAGGTCTATGGTTTCTCAAGGAAGAAAAGCATGAAAAATTGGGCCCACCGTTATTATACCAGCTTCGGGCACAGACGGAATAGCCTTTCTTCAGCAAAGGTAGTGGCACAGAACAGTTTGTGCCAGGCGAAATTGTACAGGGCAAAATTACCCAAGGTGGTCTTGACCCTGATTCTGTAGCCTTCCAAGCCACTTTTATTGTACAAAATGCAAGCAGGACCCCTACCTTCTGAAAAGGATGCCCTCCCCCAGTGGGGATGCATAGACATGAGCAAAGGTCTGCATGGAAGCAGCTCTGGATAGCAACTCTTCTGAAGAAGAAAATGCAGGGTCACAATCAGGATCAGGGTTTGCAGATTTTCTTCTTTCCGTAATATAGATATTGATTTCCTTGTCTTCTACCATGAAACCTCAAGCGAGAGCTTGACCTTTGCTGGAAAGTGACGTCAGATCCACATATAAGGAAGTCAGCAAATATGCTTCATAAAAACAAAGAAGCTTCATGTTCTACAGCAATTGTAGAAAACACTGCAGTGTAAAGTCAAAAATCATCTTCTTGCCCTTTCTCCTTCTATGCAAAGCCATAAGTTGGTTTAACATTATAACCGATATCAACTAACTGGTTTAGATCTTTTATAATGGGCAGGGAGGCCATTGGGTCCTTGCCAATGCTTACTTTCACAAAGAGCAGAATTCTTTTTTGTACTTAGACATGGTGACACCTTATAAGATTTGTTGGAACTGAAGTCTGCCGTGGTCTCTCTCTGAACAATCCCCCTACAGCCCTCTGGCTTTCGGTTCAGGAAAACGATAGTCAGTTGCTTTCCTTCCTGTGCAAAAAAATGAAACTAAGGTAGCATTCGACTTAAGAGTACGATGGAGCCCAAAATTTCCATTGCTAATCAAGCCAGTTGTTAAATAAGTTGTGTCCCGTGTTGTGACCTTTTTGCCACAGTTGGTAAGTGAATCGCTGCAATTGTTAAGCAAACCAGGCTTCCCTCGTTGACTTTGCTTGTTGGAAGCCAGCAGGGAAGGTTATAAATGGTGGTCAAGTGACTGTGGGACAGCGCAAGTGTTCGTAAGTACATACCAGTTTCCAAGTGCCCAAGTTTTAATCATGTGACCATGGGGATGCTGCCATGGTGGTCACAAGTGTGAAAAACCAATCGTGTCACATTTTTCAGTGCCACTGCATCTTTGAATGTCACTAAATGAATGGTTGTAAGTCAAGGGTTATCTATCCCAAAGCACCTTTGGGACAACCGTGACCTGGATGACTGAGAATCTCTAAAGACTTCAAGGACTACCTGTATATACAAACTTAAATACATTTATGCAGACAAAACCATTCCCTTACTTCCCCATTTCTTTTTGACCTATATTTGCCATGAGTACTATAATGCCACAACAGCTATCAATCTTGCACTGTAAATAAAAGGTTGCTTGTTGTAGTCTTGTAAAAAAAATATTCCTGAGTTTCCTATTTTCCCTGTGCCTTTTTAAAGTTCAGTTACAAACTATTTTACCATTTTTCTGGTCACATGGAACTAATAGATATTCACCCCAAGTTCCCAAATATTCCACAGGTTATTTGAGATGTTTGGAAGTTAAGGATGAAACCATCCTACTTGAGAGGACTGCTTACATGGCACACCACTGGACCTTTAAAAAAAAGAAAGAACAGAGAACATGATGTGCAATGGCATAGTCCCATTATAAAGTCAGCAACAGCCTGCTGAGTTAGCCTGTAACAAACTGAGAAAGAATGAATGCAGAAATGAAGAATGCCAGTGTTAATTTTCATGTGATCACTTTCTGCTGACTAAATAAGTAAGTTACCTCTGTACTCAAATTTCAGCATGTTCCAATAGACCAGTAGAGATTGTCATCTGTATGACTTTCTGTATAAGAAATGTGATGCAAACAAACTCAAAGTTGCCTTCCTTGGGAACATGCCTCTAACAGACAGATCATTTAGTGGGCATGAGAACAGACGGTTCTGAAGCCATCACATCATCACTGCATCTTAGGAGTAAAACCATATTGTACAGCCATCTTCTTTATCTTACCCTTATGGCAACAGATTAAACTAGTCTTCTTGGATCGCTGGGCTGGAGTTCTCCTATTCCTTTGTTGCTGGGTCGTTGTCCAAGATGCCATGCTGAAGACTTCTTTATGAGGTCTTCTCGAGGGAAGTGATAATCATTTTCTTCATTTCTGTGGCTGTAGCGTGGATACTCCCAAATCCTAATCATATCTAGTTTTAATTACTGGGGAAATTAATAGTTAAATAAATAAGTAAGTAAAATAAAATAAAAATAAAATAAAATAATAGTAAGTAATTAAGTAAATAAGTAAGTAAGTATCTTGGATGAGCTCCAGACCACTTCTTGTCACTTTGCTGCTTGTGTTCCAGGATTTGGCATTTTAAATCATTCCAATATTATGGGCATTAAACTATATAAATGAGAGCATGCATATAAAATGGACAATATTTGAGAGCTGGACTAAAGCATATTTCTGCAGAAGATTAAATATAAAAAAGATTGTCTGAGATGCAGAAAGACAACCTCAACTTCACATGGGTGTGAACTAAATGCTCCAATCGCTTCTGGAAATCAATGAAAAATATTTTCACAGTGAGAATAGAAGTCTTTCTTGTGTGTTGCTACCATTAATTAGTTTATCCCTAAACTCTGCATAGAATTGAATGTAAAAATAGCTTTGTAGTAGTAAAATAATCACAAAAATTACCGGCTGTGTATTAAATGTGTTCTTTGGTACTATTTTGATCCTTTTGCAAGGAAACGTAGATTGGAGAAAGGTAAAGAATAGCTCTATTACCAAGTAAACAAAGAGAATGTAACTGGTTTGCATAAGTCAAAATGTCTTTACCTTCTTTCATCTTGTATTCAGAGTTAATACTGGCAGACTATCAACAGAAACCATATTGTTAAAATGAACATTAATAATTTGCTGCTTTAGGCTTCTAATTGCCCTTGAAAACTTCCTTGCTACTGTTGCATCCGCTAAATGTTCATCTCCATGGTTTTGCCATGGACATGAGGAGCCATATCTGAGGACATGTATTTTGATAACAAATTATCACCATGTTCCAACATTAGATGATCAAAGACTGTAGATAAGTCTTTGCAAGAATGAAAATGTAGAAATCAGTTTTCTCCCTCTATTTCCTTCTAACCATTTTGTTTTGCAAGTCATTCTGTGAAAATTTGTTACTTAGAGCAAATTCAAAATCAGATGAAATAAGTCTTTGGTTTCTTTGGACTTATAAATAATGGGTTCAGTATAAACCTGCTTTCTTGAGGTCCTGCTCATTTGTTATAATATTAATAATAATAATAATAATAATTTATTAAATATATATACCACCCAACTCCCAGCATCTCTGGGTGGTTTTAAAGCTCTTCCACCAAGGCTAAATTTGCAGCCCTTCCTTTAAGCTTTGGTACAAGTGCTAGAAGAAGACGATGAACTGCCTGAGTCGGCACAGCCCTCATCTTGCCATTTATCCAGGCTCCTCCGTCGTGCATTCATGAAGAAATTGCTAACAGTGCTCAGCTCCAGCCCCAACTGATGGGAAATGGTGATCTGTAATTCTTTGGAAGGACGTTTATTTTCCTTGAATATTGCATAGAGAGTTCGGCGCTGGACATCAGTAAAGACCAGTCTGGTTTTTTTGAGTGCATTTCCTCCATCTTTCCCTTGGTCTTGCTCCTTCCGTTTGCAAGCTGCAATATGATGAAGAAATCACTTTCAGACTTGGGCTAAATAAAGGAGTTTTTTTTAATAACAATCTATTATCTAATAAAAGGGTTTTAATCAAGAAAGGCTGCATTTTTAAAGCAGAATAAAAGGCAGCAGAAAAACCATTGGAGTTCAATGGAATTCATTTTCCCCAGATAGGCATATATTACTAATTTCTAAGGTTTTTAGGATTAAGTGACTGTGAATTAAATGGCTACAGCTGTTAGGATGGACAGACCAATGGACATTAAGTGTGGGAAAATGGATTAAAAGGGCTGCAGAGACACAGACAAAAACAAGGCAGTTACAAATTTAAAATGTGCATATATTTTCCACTGATTAGCACTAGTTTTCTACTACTCCAGTTCAGTGAGACCTGACATCAATCTTCAGAATCAGGAAACCATGAAGAAAATCCTGAATTAGTCCTCAGGTGTTTCAAAGCTGGACTGGTAGGAGATAAAAATGCAGGGCTGAAGTCCTGGGACATTCTGGATCCCTCTGAATATTTCCTATTCTTAAGAAAGGTCAGGTCTCTTCTTTCAAAGTTAGAGCCAAAACCATCATCAGGGAGAGACCACCTGGTCTCTGGCTCCCAGGACACTCTAAAAGTTTTATAGGACTCTTTGAATTGAGATTGCATTAATAGTTAAACAATGCTGATTGCATGGAGTGTATATTTCTTGCCCGTTTTACTGCAGGGGCCCTGCCAGGCTATCTCCTGACCACAGACAAGATGCCTGCATGAGGAGGTGCAGGGAGGTTATGCTTGGTTTAGGCTTGGGTTCCAATCCCACATCTCACACTGAGAACCATATTATTTTGCATCTGTGTCAGTTCATTAAGAGAGAAGTGAAAGTCAACAGACAAACACAACCAGATAGATAGAACAATAAATCAGTGGAATGGCTTGCCTTCAGAAGTTGTGGGGGCTCTATCACTGGAGGTTTTTAAAAAGAGATTTGTCAACCATTTGTCTGAAATGTTAGAGGATCTTCTGCTTGAGCAGAGCACTGGACTGGAAGACCTCCAAGGTCCCTTCCAACTTGGTTATTCTGTTAAATTCTGTTACACCATTTCCTACTTTTAAGGACAGGTTTATGCCCTATGGAAAAAGGCAATAATTATCTGTTCCTGGCAGCAGCAACAAAGCTCAGCAGTCAATATTTTTAAAAAACATATTTATGGCCAGATTCTCTGGAAACACTTGTACAGGCTTCACGCCACCTCTTAAAGGACAAATGTCATTTCCTATGGGTGACAGTTGACTTTATTATGAGTACACCATTTGCCTTTGAAATGAATCATCAATCGGATCTAACGTGAATTCCTTAGGAAAATCTGATATCCCAAAGTAATTTTTAAAGATTCTAGTCAATAGCCATCTCCACATTTTGAAAAAAGGGAAATGTTAATTCAATTCTATTTTTGCCACAACTGTATCTACATGCCAATAATATTAATCACAGTGACATGCACCATGGCCCTAGTCAGAATATAATCCTAATATAAATGTACTGATGTACAATATTTCTCACTTTGTATAGAATTAAGTGAAGCAACTACCATTAGGTTACAAAAAGTGGGCTCCCAATTTTTCATATTACTTGCAACCACTAGATGGCACTTCATTTCTCATAATGAGAAAGGAATGCAAGAGTCTAAAGATGAGTTTTGGAATGGCTTTTATTATGGTGCCTGGCCAGTGAACTGGGGCTGAAAATTACACAATTCAAGCGACTTTTGATGTCCACACTGGTCCGTGCTAGTGAAATTACCACAATGTTAATGCCAGGAAAAGCAGCAATAAGCATTTCCCTAATAAAAAGCTTTATTTTGCTTGGAAGTCAGAGAGACGGATGAGTGGCCATAGCAAGAATGGGCGCCCAGTCTCCTCCTCCACAGAATTCAGCAGTAAAATCTAAACAACGGAGCTGTGAGGGCACCAGCTGCAAGCCATGAAATCCTCTGGAAGAAGAAGAAGACCCTGTGGCGAATAGCGTAGCTCCTTCCCAAACAAGTCATTTCTCTAGAGGCGGCCTGTTCATTAGGAATATCCAACACCACTATAGGGGGCCTGTGTCCACAAATGGGCATGCTGTGTTGAGTCAGTGAGGCTTGGCCTTGCCTTTTCTCTCAGAGGTGGAGGAGTCAGTCTCACAACAGCCTCATCCAGTGCTTCCTAAGAGTCCTGAAATGCACCTCTATTCTCCAAGGCATCTCCAGAGGATGGGCAGACAAGCATTGGTAGAGACCGCTGTCAAACCATCTCTGATACATGAATACCCACAGACTTTGAACATCTTCAATGAAGACCTAGCTAGGTACATCCTCCTTGCAGGGTCTCAGGGTCTCTCCTTTTCCCCTCGGCAATTACACTTGTTGCAGGATCTTCTTAAGGCCATTTCTTTATTTCCTTTTATGATTGAACTGCCCAAGGAGGTCACACAAGAGGGGCAGCCCAAACCAACCTGAAGTACTGAGAGAAGCTCAGTCATACAGGAGCCACCATCCCTGCTGGCTGATGATGTGCTGAAAAGGGGTGACAGAAGAGGGAGCCCATCACTTTGTAGATAGGACTGGCATGATCACAGCAATGATTCAGAAGAGATGCAACAGAGGCAAAACAGAGATGATTAGTTATGGGTCAACAAACATGGTTCCCTTCAGACAGAGAGAGGTGGAGAAAATAAACCTAACAAACACAATGGAGAAGGCACCAACAAGTGTCGTCTTTTGGATATGATCAAGGTCAAGCCTAGTCCTCTCTTGGCTTAATCCCATTAGGTCAAAATTGTCCATCCCTGCCACAGCTGAAGCTCCCCTGCGATCCAACCTAAACCAAAGAGTAAAAGCCTCCACACACCCAAAGGCAGCCCTAGGAAGTGCTTGCAATATAGTAACAAGCTCAGAAACCCCAATCTTCCAACCTCCATCAGCCAACACCCTCTGTCTCCTTCACAAGGGCTTCCCCAGCTCTCCTGCCCTCCTGAAAGGTCCATTTTGCCTACTAATAGGAATAAACCCAGATACAGAGATTAATGTATACAGCTGTCCACCCTGACCAGCCAGTCAGATCCCTGGGAACTTCCACCTTGCAGCTTTCGCCCTCTATTAAAAAAAAACTTTGCTTTTTTATTGTCAGGGTCCCTCTTTTGTGTAAAGCAGATTCAATAAAGAGCTGGCAATTTTCCCCTCAGTGCTATGCTCCATACTGAATCTATGACATTCAAGGTGTAACCTAACTGTGGGGAAAGGGTTGGTTGTTTCTTGGAAAAGGAAAGATCAGCAGAAATTGTTTATAAATGAAGGCAAATATATGCGTGTTGGATACCTTGCAGGATCCAGTCTAGGTCAGTCACTGAGACCAAAGGTTTACTCTTCCGACCTTTTCTTTCAGACTCATGCTGGAGCCCATCCTCAGCGAGCTTCTCTCTTAACAGAATGTGAACATGCTTATCTCTTGGGCTGGGTTAGGATCCTGCAACCTAAAGTGAGGGAGGGCCTCAGTCCATGCATATTGACTCAAGTTCGAACAAGTCCTGAAGCCAAGAAAATAAGTGCCTTTGTTTTCAGAACCATGGTGTTTCCTGATCCCAGGAAACAATTACACAGCACTATGCAGGACTGGTTCTCAAATGAACACTCTCTTTTATGGAGTGCTTTATTTAGCTGCTTTATTTAGCTCAGTGGAGCTAAGTGGTGTCACATATAATGGATTTAAGAGCAGGAAGACCCTGGTTCAAATGTCCCCCAAGCCAGGGACATTGTAATTTTGAAAGTCCTTTTCCCTAACCTAGCCTGCCAGACAGGATGGTTATTATCGAACAAAATGAAAATCCAGCTGAGCTCCCGCATTAAAGGCCGGATATAAATTTAGCTTCTAATAAATACTAATATTGATAATTAGAATAAGTTAGAATTAATACAAGAAAATAAAAGTATAATTTACTTGATATTTGTTTCTTACATAATTTTCTCAGGTAAGAAGACATTAAGTTTTTGAGTACTAAAGACTTATGGACTGTAGAGGAAACACATTTCTTGGCCCATTTTAGGGATCCTTGACTAGAGATATTTATCTGACTTTACCTAGTGAGTTCCAGAGGGATAGCTGTTCATAGGATCGAATACAAGATAATCCTAGTTGCCTTTTCTAAGAACAAATTTGGCCAAGAAATTAGCAGTGGTGGCAGAGTTAAAGTAGGAGACCCAAGGTCTGCTAAATTCCGGACTTGACGAGCCAGCCAAAGAGGACGGAGTACCACGAAACGCCCCCGGACGCACCTTCACTTGGAGGAGTTGCCACCTCTCCAGATGAACGCGGTATAAACGCACGCAATAAATCTCGCGAAGCTGCAATTAATTCTAAGGGGAAAAAAAACACCTTTGTTTGAATACGCACGACATCCACGCTGCTGTTCCGTTGGGGCCCCCCCCCCCCCGCCCCCAGCACTTTGCTGAGAAACCTGCAGAAAGCACAGGAGAAAACGGGACTCTTATACCCCGCGGCCTCCCTCGGGAAACGCTTCTCCGTCTTTTCTTCTCCAAAGTCGTTGCAGCCCCTTGGGCACGAAAGGCTTCTTTCTGGAACATTTGGGCACCACTCGAGAAAAGGGCGGCGCGGGCTCACCATTTCCTGGGGGCCTTTCCCGGGGCGCCGTTCTCCCTTCTCTGCCCTTCGCCACAGCAGACAGGCAACGAGACAGCGCTTCAAGGCTTCCGCGTTCCCCTCCAACTAACAAGGGCTGGAGCAGGTCTGTCCTCGCCGGCGCGTCCCTTTGGAAAGTTTCCCTCCAGCGACATTGGGCCTTCCTCACACCCCAGACCTGCCAGCGAAGCGCCTTTGTGTGGCTTTTTTCGCTGCTTCTCTGTGGACCGAACTCCAACTGGGATTTCGAACAGCAGCAGCAGCAGTAAGAGCCGAAAAAGAGAGCGCCTCAGCAAGAGCAGAGGAACTCCTGGCCGAGGAGGGCCGACTTAGAGCAGCCCCGGGATGTCTCTGGTTGCATGTAGGGATCCGCTCATCTTCCTTTGCTCTTGGGAAGGGAGAGTTGCTCTCCACGCCAATAAGGGACAAGCCGTCTTCCCGCCCCAAGAGCAGGAAAACCTCTTGCCTTTTCCGGCCCGCCGCCACGCTCCGCTTTCCTAGCAAACTCGGCCAACCCCCGAACGGGAAAAGAAGGTGCCGGGTGGCCTCTGTGTCAGCGGGTCAGCCAGGAAAATATCCCGGCCAGCCAGTCTTTCACTGCCCTACTTGAGAAATAGAATCCAGCTGCAGGAACCCGTCGCTGAGCACATTGCGGGCAGTCTCCAGCGCCTAAAATCTGAGCCCTGCACGCTCGAGGAAAGGCGTTCCACCAACGTCTGGATCCCGCCGATTGCCTCTGGGCGGGGAAAGGGCCTGAGCCTCACAAAGCTTCACTCAGGACCCTCACTCACAGGGCAAATCTCCCCACCCCACCCCCTTCTATTTTTCCGCTCCTACAAAGCACTGGACTTTTCAGGTGCGTGTACAGCCTTTCCGCGGCCAGCCTCCGGAGGCGACCCACAACCATTAGGGAAGGGCTTTTGTCCTTCCCGGGAAAATAATAAGAGCTAACCAAGCGGTTCCGGATTTGACTGGGGGGTCGGGTTGCAAGCCAACTCCCACCAGTTTGTCTGGAAAGGCTTCAGAAAGGCACCGGCAGCATTCAGTCTGGAGGCTGGGTTCATGTGCAAGGAGAGGCGGCCCTACACTGCCAGGAACACCAAAGCGACGTCTGCAGCGAGGCCGGGAATCTCAGGGCGTCCCGCAGTCCCTGGCACGGGCCAGGATGAGGGAGGGGACTTCATAGGCGGGCTCGCCTGCACAGGACTGACTTAGTCCCGTTGGTCCCTGAAAGCCAGAGCGCGTGGCCTCCGTTGCGAGGGTTCTACAGTGGGATCCCGGGAAGATCGGTCTTGCCCCTCAGCCTGTGCCCACACCGCTGCCCCTCACCTGCCAATCGGAGCGCAGACATCCGCTGGAATTCCGGCTCCTGCAGCCACTTCCACATCCTGCGAAAGGTCTCCCGCCCGGATTTGAGCTTGCTCCAGGGCTTAGGATTCCTCAACAGGTCGGAAAGCGTTCCCTGCGAGCGGCAGAGGACCCTCTGGGCGAAGATGGCCTGCGGGATGCTGTATCGCTTCAGCTCGGTGGTGATCCGCTGGGCCACGTCCTTGGTGTTGATCTCTTCCAGCTGTCCCGAGAGATGCCCGACGCTCCCTTGCGAGGCAGCGGCGGATTTAGGCTCCCTGGAGGAGGCGCTTAGGTGTCTATGAGGTTGGTGGGGGGTCCCGCCAAGCGGAACTAGGCCGGCTGTAGTCGGGGTGAGATGCTGGTCGCCCGGCCGGGCTAAGAGGGGTGGGTGCTGGGCTTCGAAGCCGCTGGGAGTGAGCATTTTCTCGGCCGGCATGGCGACTCCGGCGGGGGCATAATGCGACAGTCCTTGCTGGGGGTTGTGGAGTCCGCCCAGCGGGGAGAGGGTCTGCCCCAGGCCGGCCACTTCCTTGGGGTACGGCGAGGGGTACGGATTGTCGGGCAAGAGAGTAAAGTTGCCCGCCAGCCGGTGATGCGCGTGCGGCTGTGACTGGGGATGGTGAGGAAACTTGGACGAAACGGTGGAGAAGGGCGGCTGCAGGGGCGTCAGAGTAGTGTAGCTGCTGCTCCCGGTCAGCTCGGCGGGACTCTGGCAGCTCTCAGTTGGCGCGGGGTGCAGCGGCCCGGCCAGCGGGGATTCCGCGGAGCTCCGGTGATGCGCGTGGGAGTGGTATGCCCCGCCGCCGCCAAGCAGGAGGGAGGCCATGGCCAAGGCGCCTGCTTGGGGAGCTAAGCAGTGGCCGCCACCCGGTTGCATGCCCGCCACCGCCGGGTCCTGAGGGCTGGCGCTCAGTTGCTCGGCCGCGGTCCCCGCTGTCTCACGGCTGCATCCCGGTAGCTTGCAGAGATGCGCCACCGCCAATGACCCCTCCGGGCGGACCGGCGCGTGGGCCGCCCAGGCATCAGGGCCGAGGGCGCAGCCCACGTGGCCGGCCTGGCCCTTCGCCGGAGGCCCGCGGCCGTCCTAAAACAGTCCCCGGCGTGGGCGCCGACGCCCGCCTGGTCCGCCGCGCTCTTTCTGCGACGCTTTGGACACGGAGCCCTCGGCTGCAGCAGGCGCGGCTGGCGCCTGTGGGCATGCGCACTGAGGCTCCCTCGCCCCCGCCTCTCAGCCTCGCTCGCCTGTCGGCTGCGAGGGAGAGCGCGCGCCCGCCCCCCTGCGCTTTGCGGGGTTGGGGCCGAGCGGGCGCCTGGCCCTCCGCCTCTCCCGGGAAGAGCCCGGCGGGGACGGAGCTCGGCCGGCACCTGCGTTCTAAAGCATGGGACGGATTTGGGGCGCTGCGGCGGCCGCTACCGAGCAAGCCAGCGGTCCCCCCGGGAGCTGCAAGGTCGCCTTGGGCGCCTGGTCCGCTTCGCTTGCGGCTTCGCGGGGGGCAGGAGGTGGGCGCGGCCGGGGCCAGCAAATGGAAGCCGAGGCAGAAGGGGGTCCTCGCAGAACAGTCCTTCGCTCGTGATGGCATTTTCCCGCCCGGCCTTGCTTCGCTCCTGTTCGGTCTGGCTAACGACTCTGCGGGTCAGGCCAGGTCGTGGGAAGGCCAAGACGCGTCCCAAGTCCTCGGAATCGTAACAAGTTGAACAAATACACACATTTTACTTTTTATGTGTTTATTTGTAAAACTTTTATTGCGCCCCGGCTGGAGTCAAACCTGGCAGCGACCTTCCAACCCCGCTGCTTGCCTTCCCCTCCGGTTCCTTCTCAGGCACATCCCCTCCCCGCAGACTTCAGCCTTTGTCTCTCCCCCCCCCCCCCCCCCCCCC